TCGGAAAAGTGTGGCCCTTTCTGTGACTTGTCTGATCTTTTCCCCCGTGTCTGCCCCAACACGCAGCCCCTCCAGCTCTGACAAAGACCTAATTTGTGAAACCAGAAAAAAAGCTATTGAATTAGGTAAAAACGCCATGAAAATAATTTGCAACATCTTTGTTTCTCTTGGATGATCTGTAGTAGAATTTTACCTTTGGAGAGCAGACCCATGTTTAACAATTAGATCGTTGCAGGTGGTAAGGTCCTCCACCTTGCTGCTCAGGGTACGCAATGTGGACTGGACTTCTGAGTGATGAGAGCCCCCGCCCTGCCCCGAGACAGGGGGGACTGCAGAGAACTCGTCACCAGAGTCATCTGATGACGATAAGAGTAATTTGACAATGTAATCTCTCTACGTAATAATAATAATTTTACATCCTCTTCACCACCACCCAGCCAGGCCTTTATCTCACCAGACTCGTTCTGCATGTGCACAGCTTTTGCTTTAGCAAGTTCCAGGGCAGTGATCCATCGCTGGCGCTCGACTTCGGAGCTGGCCTTCAGGTGATAAGTCTGTGCCCCTCCGTTGGAAATGACAAAGTTGCACGAGTCCTCCACGGCGATGTTGGCAGTGGCCAAGTTTATTGTGCCTCTGCAAGTGTGACCCATCTCTGCCTGAGACCTGCAGACAGAATTAAGGTAGGATTTTAAAACTACCTTTTTAAAAAGCAAAGGGCATATGAGATTTCTAGAAGATTAATGTATGTGTTAATAAAAACCAAGCCAAAAATCTTCAATTTAAAACAAGAATTAGGAAGCATTTTAAGGTATGATTTTTAACCATAATTCTTTGCTGTTGTTCCTGTTAAAATAACAGATTTTTCTTTAAGTATTACTGTATGTTAATTCAGCTGCAAATACTGATTATTGGTACATCTCAGTAAATTGGAACATGTGTTCTGATGAGGCTCGCAGGTATTAAACATAGCTTTAATTGAGCCCATATTTATGGATTAAAAATGTTTTATTGGTCTGATGTAATATTCTAATCTTAAATGTCGTGTTTTCATCAACTATAATTGGAAAATTATCATAATTAACACAAATAAAGGCTTGAAAATATCAGTCTGTATGTAATTAATCTATATAATGTGTTGTTAACTTAATGAATTGAGTTACTGAAATAAATGAACTTTTCAATATTAGTATTAATTTATTTAGATACACCTGTTTATATAGGTACATGTCAACAAAATATCCCCATTAAAATATCCCTGTTGCTTGAGTACTGTTTTCTACCAAACCTCTTCCTTCCACTTAACTTTCCATTAATTTACTAGGATATAGCGCTCTGAATGGACAGCTTTTTCAGCAACGGCCGTTTGTGGCTTTGAAGGTGTCAATGACCCTCTGCTCAACAACTGTTAGGTCATCAGTTTTCCCCATGATTGTGTAGGTCAGAACATTTCTGTATGGAAATTAATTTTTTTCATTGGTTAATATACTATCGGTAATATTCTAGAACTATTCCAGGAGAAACAGATTTTTTCAGCTGGAAGCCGCAATCATTGGAACTAACAGAAACAAAAGCTTGGATATGAATTTATATACAAGTTAAAGTTTTTGAATTGAGTTTGTTGATATTAATAATTAATCAATATTAATGAATTCACTTTCTGAAAATATTCTAATGTATTGAGATGCATTTGTTATTTCTTATTTTTAAGGTCCCGTGTAAACATATGAACAGATTCTAAGTATGTTAGCACGCAAAACAACTTTTATTAATATTAATTTTATTAACATTTTTCCTCTGTTTTACAGGCTTTATGCATGATTCTACATTTAGGTCTGGATAACTTACCTGTAGTAAGACAGCAATCCATTGCTGAGAACAAACCATCGTCTCTGGTAACCTTTTATGTAATTAGTCCATTTGAAGAGCCAACCCTTGTACGTGTCTCCAGGGGTTGGAGTGGTAGGAGTGGGGGGCTTGGGCTCCGACATCACAACTACCTGGGATTTCTCTAAATGAGTTTAAACCCTGGAGAGTGACAGCACATATTAAACAAATACAAGTACAAGTACAAATCGCTGCAGGACACATTTTCTTTACTCCATTATTTGACAAATGAGATGCACACACACAGGCTTGTTGTAAAATGCATTAGAAATCTGACAGAGCGATACACCTCATAAATAAAACACTTTGATGAGAGATCGTATATTTTATTTTACGGGGAGATTCAACAATAAGGCTCTGATGAGGAGAACAAATCTAGTTAATTTATAATCTTTTATAACATAAGGTGTTCCAGAAAGTACAAAGGGCATCATAGGTAACAGTCTAAAAGAGCTGTGAGCCTTAATTATTCTTTGGAAAAAGAACACACAACAAAAACATTAGTGGACATTTGACAATATCCCACAATACACCAACATTTTTGTTCACAGCAGATCCTGGGACTTGACTTGGCCATTCAAAGACATAAATTCATGCTTTGATCTGAAACATTTCATGGCAGCAGTTTTAGTTTTTGGTCAAACATAATTTTCATCTCATTTGACAAGAGCACCTTCTTCTACATGTTTACGGTGTCCACTAGATGTTTGTGGAAAACTGGACTACTTATTTCTTTCTTATTGCCACACTTTAAGAAATATTAGATTGTTGGGGTACACAACTAATAGTTCTTTTAACAGATTCTTCCACCTGGGCAGTGAATCTCAGCAGCTCCTCCAGTTACAATCAGCATTTTGGCTGTTTTGCTGCTTACTGCTCTCCTGCCAGTTTAGGTGGGTGGCCATGCGTTGGTAGGTTTGCAGTTGTGCTATATTCTGTCCACTTTCAGATGATGAATTAAACAATGCTCTGTGAAATATCCAAAGCTTCAGATACTGTTTAATGAACTAAACCCTGCTTTAAACCTCGCCAGAACTTTATCCCTGACCTGTCTGGTCGGTTCCTGGTCTTGGTGCTGTTTGTTCATTAATATTCTGAAACAAACTATTCACTTTAAAAGGCAAGGTTGCACTGGTGTTTATTTAGAGGCATCAAAGTAGAAAGGGGGTGAATACAAATATATGCAAGAGTTTTCAGATTTGTACTTAAAAAACTGAAAAACCCTGCATCATTTTACTACTACATTACAAATATGCACAAATATACAAAAGTAATTTTATTTTTTTGTTTTTCCATTATCGTATTACACTTAAACATTTTGTATAATCTGCATCTGTTTCTTGTGTAGTTTTTCTAACTTCGTATATTTTACATTACTGTACAGTTTCTATTTTAGTTTTATTATTGCCAATTTTTAGACTTATTTACCCGTCATATTGCTGCTGATACACTGGCTTTCCACACTAAGGGAGAAATAAAGGATTATTCTATTATTCACTCATTCATCTTCTATACCGCTTATTTTGTTCTAATTTGTTTTGGTCTGACACAGAGACCCCAGCGACACACATTCAAGTTTGTTGGTGTGAAAGAGCTCAAGTGGTGCAAATCAAAAAGCGTCGATTGGAACTGAATATATTTAACAGATTTATACACAAACTCTTTTGGCGAAGTAGGAAACCCGCTATGTTCCAAAAACAGCCATCAAATCAACAGCTATTTCCAAAGACGCCATTCCTGGACCAAATTAACACTGTCTGGATACTGACGGGTAAGTTACGCCGAGGAAACAGATGCCAGAGCTCTTTACATCAAAGCTACTTAAAACTCTGGCTGCCTTTAAGCTCACAGCAAGCTAAACCACAGGGAAACAAGCTTAAGCTTCGTTTCCCGGGGGAAGCTAACGCTTCTAACTGTCCAGCATTACTAAGGTTATTTGTCCCATTTTGATAACTAGATCGACCCTTGGGTCACTTACTTGTCGGTGAGCATCTCCTGTTAGAAGACGGGGCGTAAGATCAGAAGCGTTAGCTTTGCTTGAAAAACTTAGCTACACGTTGTGCACCAGAACGGTGTCCGACCAACCTCTTAGTCGTTCATATTAGTTCCGCTGAAGACTAGCTTAAAAAATGAAAACACTTGATGGAGCAAACAACACATAAACCGAATGTAGGAATAAACTTTAAATAAACATTTTAGGAAATAAAATTTTTGTTTTTACATATAGAGCTGACACATCAGACTGCACTGACATGGTGCTAAGTACAAACAACCGGAATTACAAATAGAACAAATCTGTTAGTAAATACGTCGTTTTTCCTACATCGTTTTCCCCTTATGTACGATCGAACATAAATTGAGTTCAACAGCAATTATACGAATTATAGACCAAAAACTGTTTGGCAGAAGCATAAGATTACACTTGCGTAGACTATTTTTTAGATGGATCATGGAAGAACCCAAGCGCCACAATCCAATGCGCAAATAATCAGTTTTATCACCTGTCTATGGACGTTTGAGCCTCCGCTTACTATCATGGGTAAAGTTAACAAATTAACATTTCTATAGAATAAATGCTATTAAAACTATATAATTTTTAAAAAATTATGAATTCTTTAGGTATTTAATAAATGTATATATTTAATATTTGTGCATCTATAAATGTGAGATTATCAAAAACTATGCAAATAAAATTATTTATTGCAGATAAAATGTATTTTCCAAATTTAGCACTGAGCAATAAAAAATACCACACGGTCTAAGTATTATCTAAGTTAATACTTCCAACCAAACATATTTTATGCTTTTTATTTATGCATTATATTGCCATGCTTGGATTTATAGTCTTATGTTGTCAGTCAGTCATTTTCTACCGCTTATTCCATAGTGGGTTGCGGGGAAGCTGGTGCCTATCTCCGGCAGTCTATGGGCGAGAGGCAGGGTACAACCTGGACAGGTCGCCAGTCCATCACAGGGCAACACACAAACAACCACGCACACACCTAAGGGCAATTTAGAGTGATCAATTAACCTAACAGGCATGTCTTTGGACTGTGGGAGGAAGCCGGAGTACCCGGTGAGAACCCATGCATACACGGGGAGAACATGCAAACTCCATGCAGAAAGACCCGCGGCCGGGAATTGAACCCAGGACCTTCTTGCTGCAAGGCAAGGCAACAGTGCTACCAACTGCGCCACCGTGCAGCCCAGTCTTATGTTGTACACATTGCAATTCTTTGCTGTCAGTGTTTCTAAAGTCTTCTGCAAAACAAATGACTCTCTGGGGAAAGTAAAAGTCAAAATGAGTTAGAGATACTTTTTGAAATGCCTTTAATGTTTATCATTTTTGTAAAACTTTGTTGCCCTTTAACAAATTGTGTCAAGAAAAAATTTGCTCCTGTACTCAAGTTTTTTTTCAATCATTTCCCATCTAACAGACCACAACATAAAAACATTTTAAAAGAGAAATTTCAAATTTGTCTAGATAATTAAAAGTTAAACCAACGAGACAAGTTTTACAATTTTACCAAACTTTATTTTAAACATATTTGAATTTCTGTTGCATTTTTCTCATTTGAATATTCAGGATCAGAATGATACCACTGACTGTATCTTGCAATTGAAAATAATGTTCACTTCATAAAATTCACAACTCAAATAAAGCAGTTATATATTTGCACTCATTTTATTGAACATTTTTTTTTTAAATCAACAATTAAACTTTTACCAGCTAGGACAAAAAAAGAAAGGCATTGTCTAAAAAGATATTTGCCTACGTCTGTGTGCATTTCGGGTTTCTATGCTACACAACAGCCCAGGAACTTATTTTGTGATGTTGTTTGCATTCATGCTCTTCCCACTCCCACTAAGCACGATGTATGGTGTTTTCTGAGATTTCTGTTTCTCCTGAAGCAAAGCCACCGTCCCAAGAGGAGTATCGCTGCTGCTCATCTTCTTCAGCAGCGCCTCTTCTTCCAGCTTTTTCATCCTCTTCTCTGTCTTCATCTTTCCAGACCCTTTCCCATGGAATCGGTGTGAAAGCTGTCTGAAAGCTTCCTTTGGAGTGAGTTTCCGCCCGGATTCGTCCACATACTCGATCTTGACGTCAGGCTTATAGCTGCCCTTCTCCTTGAATTCCTGCGTGAAGCCTCTGTATTCTTCTCTGCGGCTGTACTTGTCATCAAAGCCCATCTTGTCCTCAATGCAGTAGTTGTCGTTGGGCAGGGCCGCCTTTGGCGCTTTGACACGAGCGACCTTCTGCATCTGAGTGTCCAATAGGCCTTTGTTTGTGCACAGCTTTAATGCAGCTGCAAGGCCGGAGTTGACAATGGGCTCCTCGTCCAGAATGGTGGCTGAAGCTGTGGAGAAATCAGCCTGTTGTTGCTCTTCATCCAGGTTAACTGTGCTCCATCCAATATTCTCATCAATTTCAGAGTCTGAACCTCCACCATCATCTTTCTCTTCTTCATGCTCAAAATCCATGATATCCTCCTGGTCCTCCCTGTTGCCAGATAGTCCATAGGTTGGAATATCCCCCAGAGTTCTGCAAAACTCTGAAGTGGCATTGAAGACAATGTTGTTCTTCTTCTCGGCATCATTGTCGTAATTGCCTTTAGCCAACACTTTAATCTGCTCTGCCACCTTCTCCCCAGAGTCTTTGAGAAGCCGTTTCTGCCTCAGCTTCCTCTGCTTCTCCAGCTGTTTTTGTAGCTCCTGCTCTGCCTCATCCTCCTCAATCACAGCTGGCTCAGGAGGAATGTAATCGTCTTCGTCACTTATATCCATCTCTGCCATCCTGATGTCATCTGACATTTGGGGAGTTTCATGCCACCTACCGCCATCTTTAGATTTCTCTTCATTCTCCTGTTCCTCCTCCTCCGCCTGTTTGCGGCCTCTGCCTCGTACCCTCGAGCCAAAATCGGAGGTGCGGGTGTCATCGAGAAGTTCATCTGCAATCGTCAGCTTCTCCTTCTTCCTGATCTTCTTGACCTTGCGCTTTGTCTTTTTAAAGCCTACCATTTCTTGAGGTGTGTAGTACTCTGAAGCAATGGTAAGAGCGGGCATTTCCAGGGACTGAGCCTGATTTCGCAGCGTTTCTTTCATTGCCTGAAGCTCACGCTCTCGCTCACCATCAGCGAAGCCCCACGTGCCCAACCGGAAGCTCTTTTTCTTCTCACCTTCGATTTCTTCATCATACTTAGAGAGCACAGCGTGGGGCTTGAAGGTAACCATGTCATCCACACTCTCCTCTTCCTCATAGGGCTTATAGTCAGGCTTCTTCTTTTTTAACTCCACGTTCTTTTCAGCTTTCTCCTTGTCCACTATTCCCACATTTACGAGCACATCTTCCTCCTCTTCCAGCACACCTTTGTCTTGCAGGGTCAGGATAACAGTCTGGCCCTCCGTGAATGAATCCACCTTGTGCTGCACTTTCAGACCCTTCAGATCCTGTGATGAATAAGAGTCTCGTTTGCTTTGAACAAACTCCTCCTCCACCAAGCTGCTGACTCCAAACTCTTCATCCATCTCCTCCAGAAGTTTGGCTCTCTTCTCTGCCATCTCCTTCTCTTTGGCCAGCTTTCTACTTCTCTCCACCCAAGCGGCCGTGTTATCCAACCAGTCATCATCACCGATTGCTTTGACTTTACCCAACTTTTGATTGAGCAGGCGCTTTTCTTTCATAGCAGCGAGCTTCTCTCTCATCTCCTTCTGCTTTTGGATCATAACAGGGTTGATGGTCTCGGCCACTACTGGGTCCTCCTTGGTCCCCAGCTCCTTCTTGCCCTCGTTCATCTCCAGGGGCTTCAGGCCCAGCTTTGCACGGAGTTTGTTTGTTTCCTCGATGCTGAGAGACGCATCTCCGCTGGCGCTCTGAGGCTGTATCTCCGCGTTGCTCTCCTCATATCCAGGATCAACCTTCTCCCTCTTTACTCTTGGTTCCCCGCTGCCCCTTTCAGCCTTGCCGTGGCTCTCTCGTCTGCTCTTTTCCCTGGATCTGGAACGCTTTCGCCTGTCTTTTTCCCGATCTGAAGCATCTCTGTCCTTGTGGCGATGTTTCTTATGTTCGCGACGGCGCTCCTCTGCGTCCTTGTCGCGGCTCTTTTCCTTGTGTTTTTTAGAAGAGCCCATTGCTCCCTCCGCTGAATACAACTACAAGGTCCAAATTCCGCGAAGGTTTATTCGCTTACAGTCTTACTTAGTTGGAATAGGAAGGAAAATGTAGCTAGCGTTCACTCTTCAACTAGCTAGCGTTAGCTTCAGAAGCTACATGAACCACGACGACACAACTCACTCATTTCAAAGAAACTTAGATCTTGTTTTCGAGGTCCAATATCCGCGAAACACAAGTTAAGTTGCTTGACCTTCGCTAAATTGTGTTTTCAGGTCCAGTTCTATCATCCACAATCAACACGACGCTAAAGTTAGAACGATTATCGAACGACAACTTCTTCCTCTTTTGTATTCAGGAAGTTGGCAGATCAGTGTAAAGTGAGTTACCGCCACCTAATGGACTTGATTAAACTCAGCATCTTGTGTTTGTTGCAACATAAGTGCCACTCACAACATGGCGGCGACGGTGACGCAGGGTCTAGATGCCTTCCATATCCTTTTAGTTTTTTGCCCCATTGCCACCTGCTGTTGAGGGGGTTGTAGCATCAGGCTAATACTACAGTTGGTTGCTACGATTTTGGGAGACATGGAAGACAGTTACATATTAATAGATTAGCAGAAAAAAAAAGATACTACCTTCACTGCGACTACGTTGTATTATTGTAAGAGGTAAGATTACTTTTCTGGTTCTAAAATTTTAAGCTAGCTATCTTTAAAGCCAGCCAGTCTGCCTTTTTATTGTTAACTTTTGTTAGCCTCGCTAGATATACAAACCCGTGCAAGTTAACTAAGATGATGTTAGGTTTCCAAACATCATGCAATACGCTTGTTTGCATCAAATACTTTGTTACAGACACATTTTAATCTTTGCTGTACTTGGCTTGGACCGAGCTAATGGGTATTAGCCACCTAAAATTGGTAAAATTGACAACTTTAGCAACTTGTTAGCAATTTGTTTTGGGGTGAACGTTCCACTAACAGAATTCAGTGTCGCAAAAAGATGGGACTGTTTGTTGCCATGGCGATTGTGGGTCGGAAATGGGTCACAAACGTTTGGCTTCTGAAGTTCGCCAAGCATGAAGTATTTTATGAACTGGTAAGAGTGACTACAACAATGACTGTTGTTTCACTTTTTATTTGCTAACGGAGGACCTAACTGAGAGCTCTTGCTAGTCTCCCGCCAGGTGAGGGGACGGGTAATCTCGTTCCCCGGGAATCCGAGCGGGCCATCACCGCCACGCACAACCCAGCGGTAGCTAACGCTAACCGACAGGTCACCGACCAACCATAACGATTTTTTTCTTTCAGTTGTTGGTTACTGAGAAGTTACACCATTCAAGGTTAAGCTTTCTCGGTAAGAAGTGTATTGATGCCCGGCGTCAACGTTAGCATCCAACGTTATAACTGTTACGGTTTTTAAAAAGTAAGATGATTTACTTGCAGCTTTGGCTAGCTAATTTAAATCCAGTTTCAGGAGCCTTTTTGTGAATATACACAAATACAATCGATCTAGTATGTGCGGGGATGAACATAGTTTATACATTATTATTGAAATGAAGCAGTTTTTCTAACTTCTACCTTATTCTGATATTTATAACTGGATTTAATTTCTGCGTTTTCTGCTTGCTGACCACCACGCTGTTTGTTATTTTCAGCAAGCTGTAAGTGGGTGACATGGCAACCGGAGGCGCTCCATTTGATGACAGTGCAGAAGAGCTGCACAACTGGACAGCACCCAATGGCAGTCTGGAAGACAGACTGAACAACATGGTAACTTGACAGAAAGTCCCACTTGCACTTTGTTTTGGCAATTTAACAAATGCATGAATTATTCTGATTATTTACCTCAAATTTCAGCTGTACGTTACACATTGGTCTGTCACTCCAGCTCCTATATGGAACAACCATATCTATCACTTCTAATGATCGGCAGTATCATCTTGTTTTATTAAAGTTCATGTTTAAAAAATATGAAAATGTAGTCTTCTGATAATTAATAACAACCAATAAAAATATGATGTTGACAGACCCTAAAAGCTGATATTAGGTATTTCAGCAAAACGTCCAAGTTTTCCAAATCGTATCCTCCAGTT